TTTTTACATATATTTTTTGGTAACACTTTATTTTGACGGTACACAGTAAATGCTCACATTTTCATTAGCTTCAATTCTATATTTTATATGAAACTATGTTCATATAAATATCACATTCAACTGAGTCTAAACCTAAGCATTGTCCTAATCCTAACCATAACACAGCTGGTAACACTGTCTAACAAGATAGTTAGTTGTTAATACAGGGCATCAAAATCAAGTGTTTCTGATTTTTGGTCCATTTTTTATAGTTCTACTCAGTTTTCTCTCCAGGGTTAATTATTGCCAATAGGTTTCTCCTGTCAGAAGATCCTAACAGCTCACAACCACGAAGAGAGAGGGCTAACACATGCTTTCAATGAGATGCATAGTCTATCAATGCATCTTCCTGAGCATTCACTCAGGCACCATCAGAGAGCAGCTGAACACTTGGAAGATAGTGCTAACTGACCAATTCTGCAAATGTGGGCCTGCAGATGCTCACAGTTGGCTAGCACTGTTCTAGATCAACTGGAGTGCAGTATGACCATATGTGCTCTCTTGGACTCCCAGGCCCACGGATGGATATAGTTTCATTGGGATTCAAAGAGTCCCAATGAAGGCACATGAGCCTCTTATGCAGTTGCACATCTCGGGAGTCCCCAGGTGACCAATTCCTACAGCGAAAATCAAATTTACGCAAACCTCCCACTATGCCAAATGTAGTCAATCAAAGTTTGCCTCTTTGGTTTGGCAGCTATGGATGTACCAGGCATACGGCAAACAAATAATGGAAGCATTCAGCCCCCAGGGCAGCACTGTGGATCCAAACTAGAAGCCTGAATTATCACTAAGGTCACTTGCATTGAATTGTTATGTAATCTTAATTGACAAAAATATGTTGCACACTTGTATGTAAAAAAAGAGGAAAACTGAAGCTGAACGACCTCTATTTGATGGTTCTTGCCACACAGTCAGAAAGTCTATTTGATATTACTTAACAGGACAGCTGGCCCTATAAATAACACTGTGGAGGGAATCATGATGCCCTGATCACATAATTAATAAAAGTGATTTTAATAGCTGAAAACTGCTAAAGGTCTTTCAGGGGAATTTAAAAAAAAATGTGTACAAAAAACCTGGATAGAAAAGCCAGAAATTTGGCCTAAATATCGCAAAGTATTTTTACCCCTGAATGAAATGGAAAATCTGGTTTATCGGTAAAGGTGGAATGTGAAAAATGATGATGGAAACGTGCTTTTGGTGGATGATGGCAAAATGGGACAGTGACTTCAGTCATTTCACCTGCCGTCTCTAAACTCTCAGGGCCACAGCCATGTACAGCTGACAGAGGGCTGTCAAAACTTCTCTTCTGAAGGCTAATGAAGGTTCGGATCTCTCCACTGTATACGGCACGGTGAGCAATACTCTAGTCTCATGTTGTACGGTGCAAGCACACCACCATCTTCAGGAATTTGCGCAGAACAGTAGTTGATGAAAACACTGATTCATTTGCATTTTCTTTTACCTACTTTTCAGAAATTAACTTGAAATTAGCAAAATATTTGAATGGAAACCCTGCTATTGTTACCAGAACACTAAATAGAAAATGTGTTAAAACAAGTTATGCATAATAAGGCCTCTTCCTGAAGTACTCAGGTGCTTCAGACGGTGCTTAAATATTGTGTGTTTTATCATCACAGCTTAAAAAGTGTTTAGCTATTGCCTATTAATGCAGCATTAGCACATAAAAAATGAAGAGAGGGTAACACACGGCAGCACTTTGGCCAGGAAACACAAGACCCAACAGAGTCTCCTCTGTATTTTTGCTCCAGGGAGAAGCAACAGCGCTGTAAATTCTATCTGAAGTGCTCATGGGGAATAAGCCCACTACAAGGCTCTTCATATGAATAAAGATGCCACTTACCTCTGTACTCATTGCAGCCATTGTAAATATCCCTTGCTTATTTGTGTGGCCAGAATAGAGGGGCTAATGGCATTTGGGGGACGCGCGTACATTCAGCAAGCATGTGAATGAAGTCATGGATGAGGAGGATATCACGCACGTACCCAAGTGAAAAGTGTCAAAAGGACTAATTAACATATTAATGATCCCACCTTCATACCGCAGCTTCTGTCGGATAGTCAAAACACTTTGATAAGCATGCAAATGAGGACCACGGCACGAAATTAGCTCGACCGTGAATGAGCGAGCGAGAAGAGAGAAGAGAGAGAAGAGAAAGAGAAGGCAGAGACTGGCAGTGATGGATTGAATGTTTGTTTTATTTATCTTTAATTATCTAGCAAACGGTGGGTGGTGGAGCCCCAATCTTAGAGAGAGGGGAACAGAGTGAAGGAGTGCACTGCAATGCTATCTCTTCCCTCGCTCCTTTTTCTGTCTCATTCTCTCTCTCTCGCTCACTCTCCCTCCGCTCAGAGATGGAAATCAATACGGCTGAGAGCCTGGCTGTCCATCAAAGGTACAGTGACAATCAAAATGGCCTCCAGGCTGAGGGATTTGCCATCGGTGGATGCAGATCAATTCGATGATGGCACGGTTGAGACAAGGACAGGTGATAATACGGCACAACAGGATTTGATTCCCTGCATAGCTTCTGTTGATGGCAATGACATCTGCAGAAGGCTATATGAGACCAGTGCAAATTCTAAAAAAAAATGACCAGCTCCATAAAGGAGTCCAGCGCTAATGTCACCTTATGTTCATACTGAAAGATCAGCCCTACAACAACAATTAGATGAATCTGCAAGTTTGCATTCTCTCTTCAAGAAGCTGGTGCTGACAGCAGCGCTCATTGCAAATCATACACTGGCCATCAAAAGTTAGGAGAATTCTTGCTTTTCAATATGTTTTCACTACAAATAAACCTGCTTTCTGTGTCAGTTTGCAATTACTTAACATATTAAAAACTAACCAGGCTTATTTTGATGAAAACAGTGTTACACATTGACATTTAACCCCCTTGTTGTGATGTCAGCACTCATCAGCACTCTAACTTTTCAGGTATTTAAACCACCTTTGGGCTAAAAGAATCTCTATACATGCTTTTGACAATAGTTTGGCAAAGAAAACTGTCAAATCACTATTTCAAAACCTGTTCTTCACACCAAGTAAGAGACTTTGATGAACATGAAGATGTTAATTTTGTGTTAACAATATGTATATTGCATGTATATTTTCTACTGAAAGGAAAATTTACTTTTTTTTTGCAAAACTGTTGGATAGTTCATTTGTTAAAATGTAATCAAAGTCATTCAGAGTAGTTTGATGTAAAATTGCGTATTGTAAAGAAACTTACTGACTCTGATTTTCTTTCCAATGGAGAACCAGGGGTCATAATGTCTTCTGCACAAGCAGTCATTTTATTGACTACCTAAAATGACCAGTGAACCTACATGTGTCAGATAATGTGAAAACTCTGGGTCTACATGAATCAGGCAGTAATCGGATTTCTGCTTTGCAACCAGCCAATAAACTCACAGAAGACGACGTGGCATAAACGTAACATTAAACTCAAACTTCATATTGTGGCTTTTTTTTAAAAAACATTGCCTGGAACTATGAACATACATCATCTAGAAAATGAGGAATATTTAAATCCTTCATTTTGTCAAGGAAAAAAGTTGATTTATGGCGTCGCTCCAAAAGTATTTTGCTACCACCTCACTGCTTGCTTATTTCCGGTACAGCAGTCTGTTTCGCACATGCGCAGACTGAGAAATCCGAAAGAAATCCAGGTAAGAGTTTACATACACTGAGGAATCTAATTACTGAGCTAAAATCCAGCTCTCTTTATCAGATTTCTTAATCACATTTCTTGACCTTGCTCTGATCTAAGAAATCAGATTATTCTGTTTATATGACCATTTGAATAATCAAATAACTGCAGAAATCCGATTATGGTCGGATTACTGGGTGCATGTAAACACACTCATTGTCTGAGACATCAGGCGGAGTATTTCTAACCTTTTTGTGTAATAACTTTCTTCGAGAAAACTTTTAAAGGCATTAAACACTTGTGACATTTGGTTCCTAAAATCACTGTGGGAAACAGTTCTGAATGGAGCATTTCACATCAAACTACTCTACTTTTTTCATTCTAATGACTGAATGATAATAGCAACTTACTGAAAAGCAATAAGTGAGAAAATACAAATTTCAAAATTAAACAATGAGACTAAAGGTGGATATCCAGTCTATGGGCAAGGGCTGCATTTAAATAATACAACAATGTGGCAAAAAGATTGACAAACTGCTTGTCGTTCTACCATATAACACTGATCTATCTGCAATGATGCTTGTCGGTTAGCATGCAGAACAGGTCAGCTAGTATGCTCAATAACCGTGGTTGCCAATGGAGTTTTTGTCTGTGTGCTAGTTGAAGTGATTTCAAATGTCTATTTTTCACTTGATAATCAGGCAACTCGCCCACTGAACATTTACCACTTGCCATTATTCTGCCTGTAGAGATGGTGGAGTCTGCCTATAGGTCATCTGACTGAGCTCAAAGATTTGAATATTGAATGCAGACTGCCAGATTAGCATATTCATCCAAACAGCAGGCTAATGCAGAGAATACAGGGCTGTTCTGCAGAAAACCCGAAAAGCACGCCTGACTATTAATATGCAAATTATACTGAAATATGCAGGTGAACTGCCTCAAAACTTCCTGGGAAAAAATATTTTGCATCATAAAGCCGAGCATAGGTCCATGTGGGAAAATGTATATTTTCGCAGTCGCTGAGGTTTTGAAGCCGTGAAAATGGCAGAAAGGAAGTATTGGTAATTTCTCCTTGAGATGTGCTTAGGGCACAGTGACAAGAAGCGAGCCTCGTTTTAAGCCGTGGCTTATAGGAAACGAGTAGATTTGGTGGAAGCATATTGAACAATGACGGCTAAAACCAAATACAGGATTGAACAGTGTAAGCTTTGGGCTCAGAGCGTGCTGCGTGTAAGGACACTTCATTGATCAGTCCTGTAATGAGAAAAGCAAGCTCTTTACCTTTGATGTCTTGCATATTTTCCACTGATGTGACCACTGCCATCACAGTGTGGAGTTGGGCAGCTAAAACAGAAAGAAATGCAGGCTGGGTGTATGGGCTAAACTGTACGGCGTGCGCATGTATTTGCCTGTCAATCCTCGAGAGTCTGCGTATTACACGTTTGTTAATCACCACTAAACATATGCGAGCCTGCATTATTTCTGAGTGATGAATGCGTGTGTGTGCGTATCCATATATAAGAAGGTTATCATCCCGCTTTAATTCCAGCAATCTGCACTACTGCAGTTTCATATCTGCTCAGTGCAGATCCCAGTGCAAAGTCAAACTGTATTTGTCCTGACAACTATCTCGCCTCTAGAGAGAGCCGCCATCGATCACACATTATCGGCATTATGGATGCCTTCTCCTGCAGATAGCCTTCATATCGATCACCTGATTAATTGCTATCTTTGGGCAGCAGAATCAAGCGGAGAGAAGAGCAGAATTTTGACAACGTATTGGAAGGCACTGAGTCATGCGTATACAGGAGGGAAACAAATGTTCCGCATTAATTCTGTCCTGCTTTTCTCTTTCTGTGCTGTTTGCTGCATAGATCGAACCGGTTCTTATTCATATAAAGGATGAACATTTTGTCTAAAAGATACAGAGTGATCTACTGCAGGCGTATGTCAAAAAAAAACTCCAAAATACAAGTCTAGAATTCTACTGAGAGTCTGAAAGTATTGGTGCATGATATAAAACACACTGTACTGCAGGGCTTTACCACAAGTATCAAAAGTACAGATCACTTAGGGCTGAACAATTTATGGAAAATAGCTATTTGCAAGTTTTCTAACCACAATTATGACTGCAATTTAAATTGTTATTGTTTACTATAAATGATGGTCCAGGCCTACTATTTTGGCCAAGAAGACCAGCACATCCACTTTTTCTGGCTTGAGGCTTTGAGGAAAGCATAAGTAAAAAATTCTACTGCAAGTATAAACCTAGAATTCAACTAAAAGCATAGCACAGTATTTTACTACAAGTATACTGAAAGTGTAAGCATAAAATTCTACTGAAAGCACAAATATAGAATTCTACTGTAAGTATAAGTCTAGAGTTCTACTGCTAGCAAACCTAGAATCCACTGCAAATCTAAATGAAAAATTCTACTAAAAGTATAATTCTACAATTTTACTGAAAGTGTAAGTTTAGAATTCAATTGCAAGTACTGAATAATAAACTTATACAGTACAGCTGTAGAGTCTAGAACTGTTCTGCAAGTATAGGTATAGAATTCTACTGCAAATATGAATCTATAATTCTACTGAAAGTATAGGTATAGAATTCTACTGTAAGTATGAATCTAGAGTTCTACAGAAAGTATAGTATAGAATTCTGCTGCAAGTATGAATCTAGTATTTTACTGAAAGTATAGCTTAGAATTCTACTGAAATTATAAAGCTAGAATTCTACTGGAAGCATTTGACTAGAATTCTACTAAAGGTATGAGTCTAGAATTCCACTGCAAGTGGAAGTCTAGAATTCTACTAAAAGTATAATATAGAAATCTCCTACAAGTATAAATCTAGAAATTTACTGAAAAGTCTAGAATGCCTGCTGTAAGGGTAAGTCTACAATTGTACTGAAAGTATAAGTCTAGAATTCTATTGCAAATCAAAGTCTACATCTGTATTGAAAGCACTGTTACAGGAAAGAAAAATTCTACTGCAGAATTCTACTGCAAGGATAAAAGCTACATATCACAGAATAAGCCCAGATACAGAAACATTAAAAGGTTAACACATTGACACAACTTCAGTGAGCTGCAAATTATTTGGAGCCTTTGTGCCTGCCATGATAGCGAGACATTTTCAGCTAGCCGCTGAAATATTCTTTTTCATCACCCTTATGATCTTTACTTGTATTTACAGTAGGTCAAACTTATTTGCCGTGGGCCTATTTGTTCTCCCAGTGCTATTTCATCTCTCCAAACTACAGAGCTCTTGCCTCAGTGGGCTCCAAGTCTCCAAGAAAAAGACAAACTGCACTTCACTCCTATTACCAAGTTAACCTTTGTCGAAGACTTTCACTAATCACGCTTTCACAAACAGAATCATTAAATTGCATATTACAAGCACGATGATATAGCGCTCAGAGCTCCACATCAACAAACAAGATAACAATCCAGCATTTACTAAGTAAAAAAAATAAATAATAAGTAAAGAAAACAATAAATCCTCAACAGAGAACACGCTTCTGTATTGCTAAATTTAACAAATTGTAAAAAATAAACCATTAATTGTTTCATTTACAAAGGTTATGGCACATTTAATATGTCCTATTTTATTTTTTCCAATATGTAAAACTCAGCAAACAGAAATTCTGCTCTAAAATTTGTTCCCTGTAGACAATCTGCTAACTTATTGTCATTAAGAAAATCAACGAAACATATGATTTGACCAGTGAGATTCTAAATTTTGCAACACAAAACCAGGCATCTGGGTAATTATGTAATTATGGGTAATTATGACTGTAATTATGACTGTAAGATCACTATCTTGCACAAAGACATGCTCCTTCATTTTAAGATAACATTTGTTCTTTCCTGAAACAATCTGTGTAGTTTAAACTAACTGTGTAGTTTAACTCAGAATCAAAAATAATTATCATTACATTCTTATTTGGAAAGTGTGGTTGTTCTGCGTTCCACTATTAGCACAGCATGTTTCTGTGAAAATGTATTTTTTTTCTTACCATATGAGGCATAAAGAAGGCATAAATATAACAGTGTAAGTGGATGTTTTTTTCAGTGCTGCTGGCAGATGAAAAAGAGAAGAGTAAGGGCTAAAAGGGGCACAGCAGAGGAGTGATTTCAGCATGGCTGTAGTGCATTTACTCCATGAATGGACAAGGCCTCATCTTCACTAATGGGTGTAGGACTTGGGGTCAGCGCATGGGCCGCAGCCTTCAAGCATACTGACCTGAATAGCTCTTGTATCGCAGGTTCCAAGGGCACTGTGAAAGAGAACAGGGCGAGAGAGGAAACAGTTAAGAGAAAGCTGGAGAAAGAGAAAAACTAGATAAGAGTTACTTTTCTTATAGAAAATTTATGAGAAAATGTATTTTAACTCTTAGAAATCACAGTTATGGAAAACATGGTGTCACTTAATATTAATTGTTTCTTACTTGAGGCTCAGTGAAAGAAGTGGAGAAATTCTGTTGATATTTATATTTGAATGTAATGGAAAGTTGTTTATTGTGGAGCAAAACACATGCTTTACGTTGTTTCCACTTTTTTATCATTTTTTACATGTTCAATGTAAATATTTATCTTCTTCCTTGAGGTCCACTTATAATGTTGTGTAGGTTTAGGTACCAAAAACAGTTGTAATTCATTATTACATGTCCATTTTCCAACCTCTCTTTATCATGTAGAAAAGGCTGTTTTTGTTACTGTACCTTTAAAACTGACACACACACACACACACACACACACATACACACACCACACACACACACACACACACACACACACCACACACACATATATATATATATATATGCACCTCACTTCAAAAAGAAGTCTGGGCTGAAACACTCCTTACTGCTTCAGCGTGAATGGGCGGGGCTAAACTGCTATTGGTTGAATAGGCAGATATACGTAAATAGGCTGTTTTTTGACTTCACAGAAAGAATGAATTCAAAATGAGCTGTTTTTTTCAGCTTAGTTTTCATATGTATGTATGACCTGTATGGATTGGGGAGTGACCAGTCCAGTGAGTAGATCATTAGACTTGGACTATGGATTAGCAGTGCTAATATGCTGTAATATCAGTGAAGAAGGTAGTGAAAATACCTTTTGAACGTGTGCGGTGGCGCTTCTCGTCTGCTACATCCACCTCCATCTGGAGAGACGTGATTGCCATGTTAGTGCCACAAATACATCCTTTTACCATAGATACACTGAATCCATTCACATATACAACTGCTAACACAAAGGTGGTGCTAATAGTTTAATAGATTTTTGTCCTTTGTTTTTAATTCAAAGACACCCGAAAAAGCACAGGCTGCCTCCAAACAGTACTGAACTCATTAAATACTAAAAAGCTGTTCACATCCATTAGAACACTACACACTGAATGTGGTGCAGAGCACAATAAACACATGCCATATAAACTAATGGATCCTGGGATAGTACATCTGTGGAGGTTAAAAGAGATCTCTAACAAAAAGTGCAGTTTTGAGTTGCCTTTTGCAAATGCATGCAAATGGAATGGTCATTCTGCTGGTAAAGCTAGCCAGCTTCTTAATCAAATGCATGTACTATAGTGCTAATGCTAAGAATAACATTTTTAGGAACATTTTCAGGTGTTGATAAATATTCATTCAGTCAATCTTTGACAATCACACAAAATGTACCTTCTTTTTTGACCATTTGCCTAAGTGTCTCTTAAACCTTCAGCCTAATGCTTTAAGGTCTGTTAGTTTAATGAGGTCCATAAATGTTTCAAACAGAGAAAAATAAAATGATCAAAGCTAACAACATCCAGTTAATCTTATTAATGGTTCAAACGGCAGGGGAATCCTGTTGTGAGGGAACACTTTCGCTTGGTACACTACTGGTGTTACCATGACAATGTGAGGGAACCCTTCCAACAGATATGAAAAGAGTGAGGAATTATCTAGCACAATCCCCTCCTGATGCGCCATTCAGCTGCTGACATTTACTACTGCTGTATGGGCAATATTACACACCGAGGCTGAGGAAAGCAAGAGAGGAATGAACCTGGTTATGTAAGAATTTAGCCCAGAAAGCTCCTTTAACCTTCCCGAGCTCTATGAGACTACATCTTAGGTCAAAGGTTCAATATAGTCATTGTTATATATTACATTAGATGTCATGAGAGCCACCTGGGTCCACTCGCATAACCACAATGTCATAGGAGTCACTGAATCTGAGCACACAGTACTGTGCAGAAGTCAGAGACTATCCTTCAGTTATTTAACTTCCAGTCACAGTGGCCATTAAGTACAAGTTATTCATTTTTCAGCATAAGGGAAAGGCAGACCACATATATTTATAAGAAAATTGTACACAGGCCTCAACAACTAAATAGAATGTCAAATATCGCTGTATTTAATGTGTCCATGCTTTAACTTTATTATAGCTCTAGTTCTTTTCAGGAGAGCGATATTCCCTCAGGGATATTTTTCAACACCTTCAAAGGTCAGTCTTAGAAGTTGGTTGCATTTTCTGCTTTTCCAGTCCACTGTGGGGTGGTCAGTCCATTGTTCTTTTTTGTTTCATTTGCAATTTTTCTTTTGTTAATCTACTTTCTTGTGTCAGTAACAGCTTCTTAACAACTACACATCCTTTCAGACTCATAGTGTTGTCTTTTCACAGTGGAAGGATAGACAGAAACACCTTTGGATTTTTTTGAGATCTGAAGCAACAGTGTAGCTTGATTTTCTCCTCTCTCTCAAAAATTAAAGCTTTAAGAACTGTTTATCTAATGGTGGCAATTTTGGTGGTCTACTCAGTCTTGCATGATTGTTAAGAGTCACGTTTTGTCTATATCTTGTAATCATTTTTTTGACCTTCAGTTTTGAAAATTCCTGTTTTTTTCACTTATTTTCCTTTGACTTTCTCTTTCGTTATGCACGTGGATTGTCTTGTATCTAAACTTCCACAAAAAAGTTGTCCTTTATAGTTGAATTTTGAATTGAAATTAAATAAATGGAGGGTCTTTTACTTTTGCACAGTACTGTACACAGTACATCAACACAAACATCAAAAGGTAAATTCTATAGAAGAAGTGAAAGGTAGAGTTCATGTGCATTTATCCTCCTGACCAATGACTTTAAGAGATGTGGCTTATTGGACATGTATTAAGTCAAGTCTTGGACTACATGGCAATGCCAATGGTGATTCTCTACTGAAAATAGGTTTTCGTCTCGGTTTTGGCTTAACCCCTTAAACCAGGGATCACCAACCCAAATGTTAAGAAGAGCCATTTTGTCCTTTCAACAAAAATCAAACTTCTATCTTCGCAGCCACAAAATTTTATGTCCATTTTATTAAAGTAACATTTTACCATCTTGGCTGAAAATATGTGGCAGCTAAAGTTCTAGTATAGACTAAAAAATATAATATAAACAAAAACAAAGGCTTACTTTGCTCTGCTTTAAGCCTTAGCTCAGCTATAGCCGCTTTTCTCACATCTCTGGCAGGAAACGTTTCCTCAAAAGTTGGATAGTTTCTTGTAAATTGTCTCTCAACATTTGACTTTTTACAAGGCTGAAGTCAGGTTCTCGTTTCCCAGCTTCTTGTTTGAAATTTCAAAAATTTAAATGGTGCCTGAGGTGCCAGAATGCAACTGCTGCACCATTTAAGGTGGAACAGGACAATTCGAACAAGAAACTGACTGAAGTTTTGCAACTTTTTAGTGTTTGACAGTTTCTGGTTGCAGATTAAACGTATCAGGAAACCAGCTGTAGTGATTATGAATTAAAATAAGTCAGATCATCTCCAAATAATCGACGTTCATCTTAAATCTTTCGTTTGGCTTTTCGTTAGCTACTAGCTGGGTGAGACTGTTGTTTGTGTTGCTATGGTGATCAGCAGTCTGCACGCCAACCTTCAGGGTTAAAGGGTGAATTAGCAGATACACATTATCTCCAGCATTTAAGACCATTTATTGTTAAAGCTGTGTTAGAGCTTTATTTTACAGCGAACGTGGATTGTTTTATTTTATTTTTACCAAAATTCTAATTCCGCTGTGGCGCCACAACAGGGTGGTAAAAGGGCTGCATGCCACATAGCTCATACATACGTATGGAGAGGTATAATTTATAGATATATTTTAACAATAAACTGAACAGACAAATATTCTCTCTTAAACAGATTTGTTAGAGAATCATAATACAGAATGTACAGCCTATCGAGATAACAGATTTTTAACTGAAGGCTTTTTGAATGCCTTAACAAAGCTGAAATCAGTGTTCCAAGGCATCATTAAGAGTTCTGATGCAAATTCACAATGTAGGAGGGAAAGTAAATATGCAAAAGGAGGGGGGTCACTAAAATTTAACCTCTCGTTTTTAAGAATTAATTAAGATAATGAGGTCCATTTAAAATTCCCACAGGAATTCTGCAAGAGGATTTAGTCAAAGAATTTCCCAAGACATATGTCTCATTACAAGCTACTACTGGTCTGTGTGCAAAAAGCAGAAACAAGCAAGTCTGTTTTTGGTTGTTCGGTGATAAAATCCTAGTCATTAGCAGAACCTCCCTCCTCTACACTACTGAAAACACATCCATCTTCAAATGTATAGATTTTATACTTCTTCATTCCTTGTAAATTCACATACTGTGTACCAGATTAGATATTACATTTAGATCTGCAGTGTGGGCTTGATGCAGAAGCTTATTAGCAAACAATACCAGAATGAAAATGTATTATATTCCCACTACCATCCATTTTATTAGAAGAACAATTTTTCTTCCACTAGTGGTAAATATATAGTAAAGCTTAATGAAATGATGTGAGGAATGAGAGAGTGAGAGAGGGGGAAATAAAGGAAGAGAGGGACGGTATAGAAGAGAAAGGGTGAGAGAAAGGGTGAGAGAGAGTAATAAAGGAACAGACTTGAGAGGGAAAGAGAGATAAAGGAGGAAGAGAGATTGAAAGAGTGAGTGTATGAGAAAGAAAAAGAGAGTGAAAAGACTAAAAGAGAGAAAGTGGGAGAAATGAAGGAAAAAAGAGAGAGTGAATAACAAAGAAGGAATAGAGACTGAAAGAAAGAGATTGAAAAGAGTGAGAGAGTGACAAAGAGAATAAGAAAGAGGCAGAGAATGAGAGAGAGAGAGAGAGAGAGAGAGAGAGAGAGATAGAAATGAAGGCAGAGAGATTGAGAGAGAGTAATAAAGGAGGAATGAAAGAGAGAGACTGAGAAGAGTGACAGCATGAGAAAGTGAGAGAGTGACAAATTAATAAAGGAAAAGAGAGAGAGAGAGAAATACAGAGGCAGATGGTGAGAGAGAGATTAGAGAAAGGTGGAGTAGAAAGAGAGAAAGAGATGGAAAGAGAGAGAGAACAAGTGAGAGAGAGAGTTGGAGTGAGAGAGGTGTGAGGAAGGTGGAGTAGAAAGAGAGAGAGAGGAGTGAGAGAGAGAGTTGGAGTGAGAGAGGTGTGAGGAAGGTAGAGTAGAAAGAGAGAGAGAGGAGTGAGAGAGAGAGAGTTGGAGTGAGAGAGTTGCCTGTAGTAGGCTACAATGGTACCTGATATGATTGCAGGTTTGATTGGTCTTTGGTCTGGACCTGGTGTTGATCCTCAGCCTGCGGTGGTAGATGTTAGATTAGAACCCCCACCAAGAGTTCACCACTCCTCCTCCAGGTTCATTTTCTGAAACATAAAGAAACATACATGCAATTATAAATTCAAATCGGCATGCAAATCCCATTTACTCTGTAAAGCATGCCATACTGGCCTCTTTCCTGCTCTTCTCCTGCACCCACCACACACACACAAATATTTATGTATTATATATAAGTACCATATGCATTAAATACAGTATATTTAAGTACTTATATGTAGTAATATTATGCATCACATATATTATACACAGTAATGTCCAAACGTTTTAGCCACCTAAGCAAATTGTTTACAATCTTGTCATAAGTGTGACACTATTTAACATTAAAATGAATGCAAATAAGCACACATGCAGTAAAAAGAATTCCTTGTAAAAAGAATTCCTTGTAAAAAATAATAATAATTGATATCTTTTGAGATATTTAAAGGATATTTCCCAGCCCTACCAATAATTTGTCATCATCACCAGGAAATTTCATTAACCTTAATAAAGAACTGATTCCTTGGTTGGAAGTATTAGATGCTTAAGGAGAAGTCTGAAAATGGTCTAGCGAACACACTGACAGATATAAAATACTACTTACTCTATTAATATTATGTAATATTAATAGTGTTTTTATTGGCCAAATAAACAGTCACTGCCCAAATAAATAGCTTTCTGAATATGACTATTCCAAGTGCCTAAAACTTTTGCACAGTACAATATATATATGTGTAATAATATGTCCTATATGCATTGCATATACAGGGTGATTCAGAAAGATTCATCTGATTTCAGGTGCCACATTTTTACAACCGTGAGGTGCCTAGGAACCAATCACATACCAATTGAAAGAGGGGGTCATAGAGTTTCTGCCTGTCAGTATGGCAGTGAATCTCCAACAGCTCAAAGCATTCATTGTTGGTACCAACAGTTCCAAGAAAAAGGTCACCAGCATCACCCGATCTCACGCTGTGTGCCTTTTTTTTTTGTTGGGGTACGTTAAGGATTCTGTTTATGTGCCCCCACCCAACACTGGATGATCTCCGAAATCGCATTGAAAGAGCCATGAGTACAGTGACACCCGACATGCTCAATCGAATATGGGATGAACTTGACTATGGCGTTGAAGTTGTCCGTACAGCTGGAGGAGGTTCATATTGAGCACTTGTACAATTACATAATGAACTTTATTCTCACTTAAACCATTCACAAGTTATTGCATTGTTCTGTAATGATTTACAAGTGAATTAAATCATTTTGAAATCGAATTAATCTTTTTTAATAACTCTGTATAAGTATTTTTATATAATTATAATATTTCCCATAAATAAATATAAATGGTTTCCTTTTGCTGCAACTCTGAGTTCACAATAAAATACATGACATTGGCTGGTCATGGCTTTTACAAGACTGGACAAGATTTCTGTTCTGAAAACATATGAAAACAAGCACACACACACACACACACACACACACACATATATATATATATGTACACACACACAACACACCCCCTCATCATGAACTTTAAAAAGTACAGGATAAAATCATGGCAGCTTGCATGCATCATTAGCTATATTTGTTCTCCCTTCCTGTAGAATATGATAGATTCAGCTAATTGCTCCTTTTGCCAGCTCTATTTCAGAGAGCAATAAGCAGCAATTGAGAGGGAGGAAATGCGATTCATTTCATATTCAATGTACATTAATGCTGTGAGATTATTCATATAGCTTCAGCTAATTTCAGCATTAGTCAATTGATCACTTGCTGGGTTTGTGCTTAAGATTCGGAGTCAGACATCACAGCGTAACGGTCATGTATTAGTGGTAGATTATAATCGTATGAATCCACAAGGTCTGTGCTAAAAAAAATGCATTTTTCATTCAACTGACATTTACTTCAATGTAGAAAAGTACAGAAAAATCACATATCGGTTTGTATGTCCAATATGAAATATCTGTTTATTTACCTAAAACTTGTGAAGAAATTAAACCTGAGAAAATTGAATTATTGTTTTTCTCTTGCATGCATGCAAATTAAAATAAAAAAAGAAACTCTTTTCTTTATACATTGCTCTCTTTTATGCTTATTCATGAGGTTTATATACAATTATAAAAATAAACCAGCCGGGTCATGCAAGTGTGAAATCAGTCACCTATTTCGTTTAATAGTTTCATCATAGCAACAGCACAGCAACAACATCTGACACCCCACAGTAAAAAAGCACATTGCAAAACCTAAAGAAAATGTTCAGGGACAAAGATTTCCACCAGTTAGTCACGTACGCTTCGTGATGGAATGCTCCTCTCTGCTAGAAATAGATAAGGGCGTAAATCTAATTGCATATATCCACCTGTTACCAGCTCAAGGGACAGTTTGCCAAACAGAAGAAAATGCATCTTCTCTGTGGGCTTCATTTTAATGACCTTGAAGCTATAATGCTTTATTGTTTATAGGCATAGTTATTTATATGTATAATATTACTTCAGGGCTCTTGTATACACTTTCCCTCAGCTTGAAATTAGTTTCCCACTGGATGTTGCTACACTTAGTGACCTTTTTAGTGTGGGTGTTTTTGCACGTACATGAATGTGTTGCATTTTAGTTATCAGAATATTTTAGTTATCAGAATATATAAGCACAAAATATAAATCTGTACATCCAATAAATGCATACACAGTGTAGTACAGATTCCATATATACCTAAATCCATATACACAGTATATTCTTAGTGGCCAGTGTAGTAAGCAGAATCCAAGATCAGGACCACCCAGTTCACACTGAGGAGGGGGGGGGTTTGACAAAATCCACCATCCATTTGGTGGACAGTGGAAAGTTAATCAAAGGATATGTATAAGATGTCCCCAACAGAGCAAGATTAACCTAATTAGAAGATAAATTCAAAGAAAAATTAAAATTTTCTAAATTTACATAGAATCACCAAAATCAACCATTATTATATCATATTAACTGAGTTAATATACCAAACTCAACATACTAAAACAACAGTCTAAAACTATGCAGTACACTAATTAATAGCACTAATTAATTAATAATTACTTATGTTTACAATGTAAAAACTGTAGAGTATATACTAATATGGTAGTGAGCAATGCATTCACAAAATATTCTCAGTGTGAAGTCCATATTGTGACATATTTTTATAGTTATGGTAGACACCATATGGTAGCAGTACACTTCTTCTTCCAATATGATATTGCCTGACAGATTCATTTGAATATATTGCATTGTGAAATGGGTATACTGAAAACATGCTGTGTGTATTCTGCTGAGGGAAAGATTGAGCTCTTTCCCAGAGCTTTATAGAAAAAGAAACGTGGGGTTTTTTTGGACCGAGCATGCGTCAGTCTCCTGCATTCGCAGATGCTAATTAGAAGTAGCCTGGTGGAGGGAGAGAACAGTGAGATGAAGACGAGGTGTTAATGATGCTGCAGTGGAGTGTGGAGAGAAAAATGAAGGCCCTCTCAGGAACCTGACACAGTGCTTATAATCAGAGTAATACAGTTTTCTTCAGCCAGCCAAAGCTCTGCTGTGACCCCCCCGCACACAGACACACACACACATATACACATAAACAGACACATAGAGACACACAGGCACATAATTGTCTTTATGTAGGATATAGAGTCTTATATATGGCCAAAGTGTATTATATATAAATATAATAATAACATGCCCTAAATATTTCAATGTAAATATCTGTGCGTAACAATATTTTATACCTATAAAATATTGTTGCTGTCAGAACCTTGTATCTTTATTTTTATAAATGTGTATATATATATATAAATATATATATATATATATATATATATATATATATATATATATATACACACAGTAGGACTTTTCACTGTCATGAAATTTTAACACTTTGTAAAGGGCGACTGGCATTTTCAAATAGGAAAACAAATGGCAATATAGGTTTTGTCCCAACAATGCCGATGTGTGAGTACCTACATGTAAAAATAACATGTCCTATACGTATTATATATGTATCGCTGTTGTCAGAACAAACCTCGTATCTCCATTTTTTTCAGCCTTTGACATAATTTGAAATTGCCTGATGACTTTTACATTGGGTGTAAACATCATGATAAATGGACCAAAAGAAATGCTCCAAAATGACTTGGAACAATGTCTGGTTCCATTGACTTACATTAAAAGTAAACAAGTTTTTTCCTTCTCCTGTAAAGTTACCATTCTGGAGATACGAGGTTTGTTCCGACAACAGTGATATATAAGCACCTATATATAATAACTGTTTTCTATAATAGTTATTATAGATATCTAACCATTTATATATATATATATATATATATATATATATATATATATATATATATATATATATATATATATAATCTAATAACCTAATCCTAAACCTAACCATTACCTTAACCTCAATACCCAAAAAGGACCTTTTTCCAAAAAATGAAACAAGCACTTCACAAAGTCCAGATCATTTTGTTGTAGGTTAGTCCTGTTTTTTTTTTTCTACATAGTCAGGACACTTTTGTCCTGAACATGTACAAAAACAAGCACACATATACACACACACACACACACACACACACACACACACACACAGATGTGCCCCCCCACCCACCCACTAATAGTCTACAATCAGCCTCAGCCGCCTCACAATCCCACACACAACAGTGAATGTCTGCTTTTATGAGGTTGACTGGGTTTTGTGTGTATGTGTGTGTGTGTGCTGGCTGGGAGAGATAAATGATGCATCTGAATTCCACCACTCACTGAATTTTCTCACCAGGATTTCACCCTCTTTTAGTTCTGTTGTTGCTCGCTCCTCTGATGTTGCCTCTCGCACACTTTCTGTCACATCCTTTGTTGTCAGGATAAGAAAGCTAAGCACAATCTCGCCAAAAAACACAGCTAGCCTCCTAACTAGACACAACACTGGAGCTAGTGTGGAAACGCCACTTTGCCCTTCTTCCAGTAGCTAAACAATCAGACTGTGGACAGAACTGAGGATGGGAATCAGGCTAGCAGAGGCTGTGAT